TTGCCGTGTATGCCCTAAAAACATACAGACCCGCCGCCACACAGCCAGATATCAATGGGTGGCCCCCTAAGCCTTGAATTTTGTAGAAAAACTGGGCTTTGGAGTACCATACTTTAATACTTTTTTTGGGGGACCTGTTCCTTGAAGGAACCATTAGAAAGTAAAAGTCTATACTTTTTTCTCCCTGGTTACTTCAAAGCCCAATATAAGGTAACCCCAAAAAGGAACTACTTTGGGGCCTATGGGTAGAGACCGAAGCTTGGAATGCTCTGCGGCCCAACAGCCGCAACCGTAACACCGAACCCCTATACTATTTTTGGGGTTCCTTGTTATAGTTATAGTTTAATACACCCCGAAACCCTATTCCTACTAATTATTAAGGCCCCTAACTTAATGGAAACTCATCTTGGGAAGCCTTGATTCTGACCTCTCAGATAGGGGAAGGCTTGGGGGCAAAGAGGCTTCAAAGCTCAAGAACCCAACACAGCACAGCAAGCTCGAACGACTCATGCGGCACGGAAACACAAGCGTTTCACAACATATGCTGCTGTCGAATCCCCCCCACTTCTATGCAGGCGTTTAGGTTTTGGGGTTCAGGGTCCCCAAGGCTTGGTTTATGTGCCGAAATTTCGCTGCATGTGCACTGTGCAGGATTGGGAGTTGAGGATAGCTGGGTTTCCTGTCTGAGTTTCATCAGCTGCAGTGCATTTTCGCAAATGTGAAGTCGTTCGTGGTTTAGGTTTTATAGTGAACTCTTATTATGACTATCATTATTGTGAGTATAATCTCTCCAGCGTTGCGGGTGGAAGGCTTGCACGGTTTGCGCGCTCTGTTTCTAGGCTTCCGTGATGACCTATAAGCCCCAAAACCTCAAGCCTAAAGAAGACTAATATATCGGCGCATTATTATACATACTTTACAACACACCCCAAGTCCTAATCCTAATGTTTAGCAGGTGTATATATATATATATATATCCCCACCGCCTCCAAAATCTGGGGTTGCAAGAGCGGAGGAGGCAGAGAGTGGAAAATCCTAAAGTCTGAGATCAGTGAACCTTTTATATAATGTAAAACACAGGAAAAGCAGGCTGACGTCTGTATTCATCAGGGAACGCTATTGTGACAAGATGTCCATACGGTAACATAAAGTTGTCCATGAGTGCCGCTATTATTATGATTCGACTGGTTGTAGTATCATGACCATTATTATTGTTATTATCCCTACTATCTTTGACTAGTCCTATCATTGGTTTCTATCCAAAGTATGTGTTATGTTTTGTGTTTATATAGGTGCTCTCACATATGCATCTACATATATATATATATAGAGATGCAGAAACATACAGACATATATACTTGTATGCATGCATATGTGTGTATGTATGTATACATATATATATATATATATGCGCATGTATACGTATGCACATACGTACTTACGTATGTATGCATGCATGTATGTATACACTTATGTATGTATGTGTAAGTCTATGTATTGTGTAGATGTAGATGTGCGTGTTATTCGCATATGTATGTATAAAATTTTATACACAGAGAGAGCTAAAGACAGAGAGAGGGAGAGTTCTCTTGAGTTGGTACGTGCTAGTACGGCAAATTTCGGACCACAGGAAAATCCTGAATCCTCACGGCCCTCTGAAACAAGGGTTTAGGGTTTAGGGTTTAACAAGAACCTTATACAACATTATACAACACCAATAGCCTTGAAGCAACCTTCAAGTAATCCAAAAACCCTAAACCCTAAACCCTAAACCTAAACCCTAAACCCTAAACCCCCTGCACCCCTCTGGGAGGTTTCGGTCTCCTCACAGAAGCTGAGGGAAGGCATTCAGCTCAGAGACGAGGCCCTTCGGCTTGGGTTTAGATTTTAAGGATTGGTTTAGGGCTTAGGGTTAGGGTTTAGGGTTTAGGGTTTAGGGTTTAGGGGGGCTTGGGTTTTGGGTTCAAGGGTTTGGGGTTCAGGGGTTTAGGGATCATTTTTCAAAGGCAGAGGAGTAGAACAGAAGTCTGAAAGGCTGGAAATGTTGCACCCTTTTCCCATTTTTTACTGTCGCATCATAAGCTCAGGCCCCAACATAACACCCAAACATGCACACCCAGTATCGCATACTAGACTGCTAGATGCATTGAACGTTTCAGGGCTGCAGGCGGGCAGGGAAGTTAGTTGGGGGCACAGTCGTGCGTATGTGTAGCTACTGCTGGAGTCTAATCCTGCGGATGGCATTGGTTTGCAATCCTCTTCGTAGTTATAGCCTGACATTGTTTGGGCCATTGCTGTGTGATCAAGCCTTCTGGCATATCCTGGAGAAGTGCGAATGCTTAAGTCCGGATACGATCCAAATCTGGGATATCCCACCCTTGTGTCCGCTTTTGCCGGAAGCATAGTCTGTGCAATGTTTTGCATGCCGGGTGCGAGCTGCGGGATATCCCGGGCCCAAGTGGCTGATGAACCAATAGGCGCGTATTTTGGCGCATTCCTGTGAAGGCTCACAGCCGTTACCAGTAAAACAGTACTTTGTAGTGACACGTTGAATCATCCGCTAGTTTACAGTCAATACCCTAACCCCCCAGGTACCTACTATATAAGGCCCGAGGGGCTCTGGTACCCTATA